CAAGGAAACCTGAGTCTTCTACAATGCTAATGGGTCTACAATCCTTTGCAATCCATTTTGCTATTGTGTTGGTCAAATTATCTGAGGTTGATTTTGTTAATTGCCTGCAAACATTCAGCGTGGTCTGGCGCAAACCACTTGCTGAATCTGACGGCCCAGCAAACGCATGTTTGGCGTTGACATGGTACTTCAAGCTTGAACAGCTCCGGTGAAATTGAAACTCCTTCTTACAAATCTTGCAAATAACCTTGTACTTGTTAACTGTACCATCATCATTCTTTTTATATTTGAATCCGTCAATAGGCCCACTTTGCTCACCTTGCTCCATCTCGCCTCTAGCTCCCAACCACTTTCCTGACCTGAATAATTTGTCACACTGCGCATGCGTGAAATGCGTTAAAAAAATTGACGTAATTAACAGCAAACAACTAATTATATATATATATATATATATATATATATATATACACACACACACACACACACACACACACCGACCTACATGGGCACGCTCACCCTCATTTCATTACACATCACCATTTGTTTGTGTTGCTGAGCTCAATATGGCCCTGATTGGTGAACCATTGATCCATTCTGTGCTCTTTGTCTGTTGGCAAGGTTGGGGACATACACACAATCTTTTTAACATACAAGTTACTTTAACATCTTTGACATACAGGATTACATTGTGCATGTTCATTCATATACTGTTAATGCAGGTTACCTATTCTGGATGCACTGGGTGAGGTAAGGGCTGACACAGGTGCATGGTGTCTGTTAGAGGACATGGAGAAGGCAGAGAGACTTATTGCTCAAAGAAGGAAAACAAATCAATGGTGGGGGAATATTCTGATTAACTGATAACACAGAAATAGCAATACTGATGGCAATATATTTTGTCTGTAACAAATATGTGGGGAACTTCTGAGATTTCTACCAACCTTGTGGCACTGCAGAAAGATGAGTGCATTCCCAATACAAAGGTTGTGACTTCTAATCCCAGCAAGGTTGATATTGAAAAGTGAGGACTGGGAAAGTTATTATTTCCAATATAAGGTTTTGTGCATTATGTAAGCTGGACTTCATCCCACTTATATCAAAACCCCTATCCCACTTCATCAATTATATCAACCTAAAAGAGCATTCCCTTGGGACCGCTACACGACATCCTGAAGACTGGTGAAATTAAAGTCCTGAGAACGTCCTAAAAAGGTCCTGACATGGTCCTCGGTGACGTCCTGGTAATTTATAGGGAACTAGACAAAAGTCCCCCAGATAACATTCCCTTGGGACCATAATGCGACGTCCCCTTGACCATCATGAAACGTCCTCTTGTGGTCATTGAATGTCCCATGGATAGCGTCCTATCAGAATCGAATAGGAACATTTTCGGAATGGACATCAAAATACCTTATTATAATGTTATACTGCGACCACACGGGGACCTGTACCGACTGTCCTCTTATGGTCCAGAGGTTAACGTCATGTTTTAATGTTCCTAGAACGTTCTCAGAACGTCAGTGTGATACCGTCTCACCAAAACCCTTAATGGGACCTAATGGGAACGTCACCTGATGTCCTTAGGACATCCGCTATTTGCTGGAAAAAGCCTGTCGCTTTTAGCCGTTAGCATCCGTCAACTCAGATTAGCCTAGTATCACTTAACATATATTGCTTATGTATGATATTGTACTTGTCAATCTTGCATAATCTTTGGAGTGGGTAACATATTTTTAGTCACTCAAAAGTTTTCGAGAGGCTTTGCTTTTGGGACTTGGTGTTTTTCGTTTTATAGAATTATGGTTAAGTAAATCATTTTTAGCTCAATTTGCGAGGGTGCGCAAATTGAAAACGGGGAGAAGCTAATTGCCAGCTGACAGAAATGCTAATGATGTGGAGGCTGTTTTGACTCTCTCTCAAAGCACAGCTGACAGTAAGTCGGTGGTGGCAGCAAATACCACAGGCGTCTGACAAGAAGCCACCTGTTTCGGCACAGCAACAGAGACAAGGGACAAGCAACAGAATGCTGCCTTTATATTGTCTCTTAGTATCCCGCCACTTAAGAAGAATTGACATTACGACACACACAGACATATGCTTACTGTAAAAGCACGGTTTTATTTCCAGACTTGTCAATCATATCCCAACTCTCCTTTCTCAGCACTTCCAAGGAACTTTTAGCTTTTTGCTAAGGAAAGTAGGCTACGAAAACTGTCTGGTACTGGAAGTCATGCCTAACCACATGGTCCCGTGTAGCTCAGTTGGTAGAGCATGGCGCTTGCAACGCCAGGGTTGTGGGTTCGTTTCCCACGGGGGGCCAGTATGACATTTTTAAAAATGTATGCACTAACTGTAAGTCGCTCTGGATAAGAGCATCTGCTAAATGACTAAAATATTGCGAACATTTACTCTAAACACCATAGGAATCAGTCTGAGAGATTGATGTAGTGTTTATTTCCATCAGTATAGTCTCACCCTGATCCTCTGGTATAATTGCCATTTCTCATCCTTCAACTCCCTCGTCGAGTTTAGAGTATCTGTGGCTCGACAGTGGTGAGAACGCCATGGCAACGGGGAGAGATGTCATTTTCATCTCTGTATGACAGCGTTCTCTGTGGTGTGGTGGGATATCTTTTTCCACTTCCCCTCTCAAAACGTTGACATGTCGATCAGTGCTGTCATCCCACTCCAACCTCTGCTGTTGGAAAAGTGGAGTGATTCAGAGAGGAGAGGGGTGTGTGAGTGTGTGTGGGCACAGGGTCGTGCTGCATTGATTTGGCTAAATTTGGTAACTGACAGTGTGTGTGTGTGTGTTTTCTACAGGAATGCACTAATGACTGCTGCAACGCCAACAACTGCACATTGAAGGAGGAGGCTCAGTGCGCCCACGGGGTCTGCTGCGAGGGCTGTAAGGTATGACACACACATACACACAAACAGGCATGGACGGATGTCCTCATCTCACTTAAAGCACTTAAAATAACAACAGCCTCTACTTTTCCTCTTTGGTCTATAATACTGTATCCTCTCACATGTTTCAACTTTCTTGTTTTGTTTCATAGAAAGGGGATAACAACTTCTTAGAAGTCTGTGAGAGATAAGCTTCATATCTCCCTAGCATGATCATAACCCATCTGCCTACAAATGTAGGATCTTATTTTGAGCCAGTTTGCAAATGTGAATTATTATGTAGATTATAATTAATGGAATTTTTGTAGGGGTTGATACATTTTTCGTAAGGGAAAATCAAGTCTGAAATTTCAAAGTGGAAATTACAAACTTCAGAAGCCTTTTCACACCTCAAATGCACTATACGTTTTAAATGTCCTGCATTGAAGGAGATTTCTCCTGCAACAGGGTGATCAAATTACGATCCTACATCTGTATTTGATTGTGTGTTTGAATTATTGATTTAATCCGTTCTGTAGTTAATCATGTACTGAATGGTCTTTTAAACAAGTAGGCCTACATCATACTGAATCCCCCCTCTTCTCCTTGGTTTTTCCCTCCTCTCCCCCAGCTGAAGCAGGCAGGTACCATGTGTCGTGGTCCTGCGGGGGCATGCGACCTGCCTGAGTACTGCACTGGAGGCTCTCCATACTGCCCAGCCAACGTTTACCTGCTGGATGGATCCTCCTGCCTGTACGGTCATGCCTACTGCTACAACGGCATGTGTCTGACCCACGAACAACAGTGTCTGCAGCTGTGGGGCTACGGTAGGGATGGACGCCTCTATATTACCATGTATACTGTACGTACTGGTATATAACCTCTTATGCTCTAGTCCGATGTGTCTGAACTTAGACAGTGGAAACACCTAACGAGAAGCCTCATTATTGCCTCATCAACAGTTGGTACTCGAATTAACAATTTCTTGATAAATTACTTTGATCATGAAATTGGCTATTCAGCTCCTGAAAAATAGTACTGCAGTACTTACTATTCTCTTAGCCTGTAGCCTACACACACACTGCATTACAACACACCCATCCTCTACTCCTGTACACACAGACCTAGAGAGTATTTGTAGAGAGCTTTTGTCACGTACGGTAGTTACCTCACTATCTCAGTTAGCATCTCTCAAATCGCTTTAGCATTTAGAAACTCTAGCTAGTCATTACGAAATACAACTTCAAACTCTGTTTGCGTATTTGATGATAAGACTCTTCACCTTTCTCTCCCCCTATTTGAATAGGTAGTGATGAGTATAGCCTTTCTATTTACATAGATACCACAGATCACGATAAGGATCTACACCTTTAAACTACATTAGCATAAGCAGTTGGGTAACACTTTAGATGTATTACAGCCTTAGCCAGCCATTGCAGTTCGAAGCTTTATTAAAGCATATTTTAGTATTTTTTTCATTAGTCCTCTGTCAATATGGTCCCCAAAAAGTGTGCATGTCAGCAGTGAAGTTTTCAAAATAGAGCACTTTCAGTCAAAATCCAAAAGTGTGATGATGATGTGTTCGATGTGGGTTCGATTTCCACGGGGGACCAGTATGAAAATGTATGCACTCACTCACTGTAAGTCGCTCTGGATAAGAGTGTCTGCTAAATGACTAAAATGTAAATGTAAATGTTTTGAAAAAGTTGTGTCCCTTCTGTCAGAATATTATTTTGGACATAACAAAATTAACATAACTTTTTTTTCTTTATCCTTTTTAAATTCCTCCTGTCTGTCACTGTTAGAAGTGCATTCAGTAGCAAACATTGCCTTTTGTGTAGGAATAAAATTCATGTTGACCTTCTGTAGATGTTACTTGATGTTTTTGTTGTTATTGTTGTTTGGGGCTTTTTTCCTATTAACAAAGCATCCTTTAAACAACTGCCCTTGGTTTTCACTCAAAACAGACTGTGAATTCCTACTTGAACAGTGTAAATTGTGTTGTCTCAAGTAGCTCATATTGTTGCTCTTTGGAAGTGAATATAGCTCACTGTAAGGGGCTTTATGGCTTTTCTTATGAGTGAGTGGTTATATTAACTATTATTTACATTATGGATTTTAATGTCCCAGGTGCCCGGCCAGCGCACGACGCCTGCTTTCAAGACGTCAACGCAGCAGGGAACGCATTTGGAAACTGTGGGAAGGACGGACAGGGAAACTACATGAAGTGCGAGAAGAGGTGTGTGGGAACAATGCCCTGTTATAAAGCTTCGTAACGCGACATAGCAGTTTCTAATCCAATTACAATCTAATCTATCTAACTACATTGCCTGTTCATAGTTATAAAGGGTTAAGACACTATAGCATGGACCAGGGGTGGCCAAACTATAATTCTGTGGGCCAAACCTAGTCCTGGAGGGCCGTGATGAGTTGAATTAGGCGTGTTAGTGTTGGCTAGAACAAAAGCCTGCACACACTGCAGCTATCCAGGACCATCCATGATCTGCTGTATAACTTATAAGGGCCCAGAGGTTTTCCTTGTCAGATCACAAGAACATGAAAAATTCCTGGCCTTGACCATAACACGCTACTACACACAGTCTGACATCCAGTGTTTTTCCTAGCTGCCCACCATTCCTTTTCTAAAGCGTGCTCCTGCTGCCAAGCACCATCCTCGTCCACGCCACGGCCCTCTGTGTACTGTAAAGCGCTGTCGTGCGTCTTAGAGAGCGTTTCCATGGCGTCTCGCCAGAGCTAATTAATTAATCCAAATTAGCTATGCAAATTAGTCTTGTGTACGAATGATACACCACTGCCCAACTGCGTTAGAGAGAATCCAATAAGCGACGTGGAGACGTTACATTTTTTGGGGGGCGGCCGTCAGTAGAGGAGATCTAAGGATACACTAGGCCCTCTTCCAGGTGCAATTAAGATGTTTAGATAGCTACTAGGCTTGAGTCATTTACATTCAAAAGCCATTCATTGTAATGTAATCTGCCTCTTGTCTTTGTTTCCGGTGGATTTTTTGATGTGTGCGTGCATGTCTGTGCGTGCGTGCCTGTCTGTATGTCTGTCATTGTGTATGTCTGGCTGTGTGTGTCTGTCGCTCACGTGTCTGCCATTCATTCATGTGCATTATGCATCCATCTCCAGCGATGCAAAATGTGGGAAGATCCAGTGCCACAGTGCGGCCAAGAAGCCTAAGGGCACCAATGCAGTGTCCATTGACACCACCATCCGTAGGGATGGCATGGAGGTGAAGTGCCGGGGGACGTACGTCTACACCACCCAGGATGGACAGGGGGACCTCCCCGACCCAGGCCTCGTCATGACAGGCACCAAGTGTGGAGAGGGGAAGGCTAGTAGTGGTTGCAGTATAATATGTGTATCTTTTATGTGTATCTTCTTTTATCTTTGGACATAGACTGTAAGTCTATATTATATTTTTCTATGTTGGTCTTTTAGTATTTAATGTAGTATTGATTCGGTGTCTACTAGTGATGTAATGAATTTCTCTACCTCATCCAAAACCTGTCAGCTTAACTCAATTGTGATTCATGCTGTATAGTAATCTTAAATATTCATGCTGTATAATAATCTTAAATATGTACATATATTAAATATGTAGACACACGTGTTACTATTTTTCTCGGCCCAGGACCGAGATTGGGAAACCCTGCTCTAAGTTCCCACGCCAAGCCAAATCACTGCAACACGACCCTGCGCCCACCCACACACACATTCACTAACACCCACACCTTGTACCTAATCAGTGTGAAATCTAAACATGTTTGTGTTACTGCAGGTGTGCAGGGACCGCCGGTGCCAAAATGCCTCTTTCACCGAGCTCGAGAGCTGCATCGCTCACTGTCAGGGCCATGGGGTAAGCACTAGGCCTCACACACACACATGCAAACATACACACAAACACACTTCCCCCCATCTCTGTAATCTTATGTTACACACTGTCCTTGGAGCGAAGGCAGATCGCTGTCACTGTAGCTCTTGTAAAACAGGAGAAATGGATGGCAGCAACACATCCCCTGAAGCCATAAACTATTTATCGGTTAAGTACCACGTTTATGCACCTGTCCCTATAGGTATCTACAGAATAGGCCTATACAGATTTGAAAGAAGGTTATCAATGTCACTTCCCAAAACTCCCTGCTAACTTTGTTGAACTCACGCACGACTCACGCATATCACCATCAGCGTCTGGTGGCACTGAGCTTTTTGGCATCAGAGACACAGACAGACGTAATTTCACACCCCCAACATTTCTTTCTTAAAACGGGCCCTCCAGGTCGGCCATCTTAGAAGCGGGAAACCGATGACTCATTAAAGCGAAAGGGCTTCCATTAGCGAGGCGCTGGCATTCTATAATGTTATTAAAACTCCTCAACCAGCTGCCCGCTGAGGGTTATAGACAAACAGAACAGAGTCTCTATTTTTCTACATCATTTAGCAGCAGGAAATGATAGTAATCAAGTGGAAAATGTTAATCTCCAGAAAGGGTTTTGATATGAATATCAAACAAGCTGAATTGGCACAAAGACTATAACCCTTTCATTCAAAGTCATGGAGTTTGTTCATCACCTCCTGTTTGCTAGTAAACAAACAATTAGCATGCTAAATTCACTTGGCCCTTCTCCAGACACGTAAGATCATCATGACAGTCAAGGAGGAAGATCATTTACGGTAACACACTGTTTGTGTGTGTGTGTGTGTGCGTTTGCCACACTGTGTGTGTTCGCGCATGTTATCCACAGGTGTGCAACAGCAATGGCAACTGTCACTGTAACCGAGGGTGGGCGCCTCCCTTCTGTGAGAAGCCTGGCCTGGGGGGCAGCGTGGACAGTGGGCCTGTCCAGTACGACAGTGAGTTGACCTTCATACACACACAAACATGCGCACATGCACGCACACACACACACAATCCCTCCCTATCAACCTTCTCATACCCTCTGATTTACAGTAAAGTGCTAAGAGTGTAAGATTAGCACAGCCTTTGTGTTTCTGGTCCAGTTTAAGCCTTCTGCCCACTACATCTAAGGCTGGTTGTACAGGTTTCTATAAAAGTGTATAAAATGGTATTATCTCTTTGTGCTCCAGGTCAGCTGGGGTTGGTGGTAGGCCTTCTCTTTGCCTTCCTGGTGCTACTACCTGGGATCCTCATCGCATTCTACTGCTACAAGATCAAGAGCTCCTACTACCACAAGTGGCTGTCACAGAGAGAGAAGAACAACAAGGCTAACAGGTATCTAGCTGCCACTAGCCGCTCCTCTATAAGGCTTAATTAAGCCTTCATAAAGGTTAGTGTGTTGGAGAAAATGGAGTATGTAGGCTAGCTGGTTTGGTCACACTTTAAAGCTTAGAGAGGATCTCATGTTAAATACTGTTGAAGTAATATGGCTACAGGTTCATCTGCCTCATCTAAAGGCCATTCTTGTGGGAAGGTGCTATAGACCACCAAGTGCTAACAGTCAGTATCTGGATAATATGTGTGAAATGCTTGATAATGTACAGTGGGGAAAAAAGTATTTAGTCAGCCACCAATTGTGCAAGTTCTCCCACTTAAAAAGATGAGAGAGGCCTGTAATTTTAATCATAGGTACACGTCAACTATGACAGACAAAATGAGAGAAAAAAAATCCAGAAAATCACATTGTAGGATTTTTAATGAATTTATTTGCAAATTATGGTGGAAAATAAGTATTTGGTCAATAACAAAAGTTTCTCAATACTTTGTTATATACCCTTTGTTGGCAATGACACAGGTCAAACGTTTTCTGTAAGTCTTCACAAGGTTTTCACACACTGTTGCTGGTATTTTGGCCCATTCCTCCATGCAGATCTCCTCTAGAGCAGTGATGTTTTGGGGCTGTCGCTGGGCAACACAGACTTTCAACTCCCTCCAAAGATTTTCTATGGGGTTGAGATCTGGAGACTGACTAGGCCACTCCAGGACCTTGAAATGCTTATTACGAAGCCACTCCTTCGTTGCCCGGGCGGTGTGTTTGGGATCATTGTCATGCTGAAAGACCCAGCCACGTTTCATCTTCAATGCCCTTGCTGATGGAAGGAGGTTTTCACTCCATGGCCCCATTCATTCTTTCCTTTACACGGATCAGTCGTCCTGGTCCCTTTGCAGAAAAACAGCCCCAAAGCATGATGTTTCCACCCCCATGCTTCACAGTAGGTATGGTGTTCTTTGGATGCAACTCAGCATTCTTTGTCCTCCAAACACGACGAGTTGAGTTTTTACCAAAAAGTTCTATTTTGGTTTCATCTGACCATATGACATTCTCCCAATCCTCTTCTGGATCATCCAAATGCACTCTAGCAAACTTCAGACGGGCCTGGACATGTACTGGCTTAAGCAGGGGGACACGTCTGGCACTGCAGGATTTGAGTCCCTGGCGGCGTAGTGTGTTACTGATGGTAGGCTTTGTTACTTTGGTCCCAGCTCTCTGCAGGTCATTCACTAGGTCCCCTCGTGTGGTTCTGGGATTTTTGCTCACCGTTCTTGTGATAATTTTGACCCCACGGGGTGAGATCTTGCGTGGAGCCCCAGATCGAGGGAGATTATCAGTGGTCTTGTATGTCTTCCATTTCCTAATAATTGCTCCCACAGTTGATTTGTTCAAACCAAGCTGCTTACCTATTGCAGATTCAGTCTTCCCAGCCTGGTGCAGGTCTACAATTTTGTTTCTGGTGTCCTTTGACAGCTCTTTGGTCTTGGCCATAGTGGAGTTTGGAGTGTGACTGTTTGAGGTTGTGGACAGGTGTCTTTTATACTGATAACAAGTTCAAACAGGTTCCATTAATACAGGTAATGAGTGGAGGACAGAGGAGCCTCTTAAAGAAGAAGTTACAGGTCTGTGAGAGCCAGAAATCTTGCTTGTTTGTAGGTGACCAAATACTTATTTTCCACCATAATTTGCAAATAAATTCATAAAAAATCCTACAATGTGATTTTCTGGAAAATTTTTTTCTCAATTTGTCTGTCATAGTTGACGTGTACCTATGATGAAAATTACAGGCCTCTCTCATCTTTTTAAGTGGGAGAACTTGCACAATTGGTGGCTGACTAAATACTTTCTTTCCCCACTGTATGTGATATCAACAGAGAGGTATATTTTCTGGGTGACCTAAATATTTTTGACATTTGAGTCATTTAGCAGACGCTCTTATCCAGAGTGACTTCCAATTAGTGAGTGCATACATTTTCCTACTGGCCCCCCGTGGGAATATTGACTGACTTTCATCAAGCTGCCCATTCAAGAAAAAGATTCGAACTGTAACCAGTGCCCGCAACCTGGTTCAGGTTATCAGTCAACCTACCAGGGTATTTACAAACAGCACAGGAATAAAATCATCCACATATATTGATCAGATCTTTACTAGTGCTGCAGAAATCTGCTTTAAAATAGTATCCAAATCCATCAGGTGTAGTGATCACAATATAGTAGCCATATCTAGGAAAACCAAAGTTCCAAAGGCTGGGCCTAATACAGTGTATAAAAGGTCATACAATAATTTTTGTAGTGATTCCTATGTTGATGATGTAAAGAATATTTGCTGGTCTGTGGTGTGTAATGAAGAGCAACCAAACTCTGCACTTGACACATTTATGAAATTGCTTATTTCAGTTACTAATAAGCATGCACCCATTAAGAAAATGACTGTAAAAACGGTTAAATCCCCATGGATTGATGAGGAATTTAAACAGTTTATGGTTGAGAGGGATGAGGCAAAAGGAATGGCAAATAAGTCTGGCTGCACAACTGATTGGCAAACGTACTGCAAATTGAGAAATAATGTGACTAAACTGAATAAAAAGAAGAAGAAACTATACTATGAAACAAAGATGAATTATATAAAAAATGATAGTAAAAAGCTGTTTAAATTTTGGGCAAAAAGGTAAACTCAGCTCCATCATTCATTGAATCAGATGGCTCATTCATCACAAAACCCATTGATATTGCCAAGAACTTTAATGTTTTTTCATTGGCAAGATCAGCAAAACTTAAGCATGACATGCCAGCAACAAAAGCCGACCCTACACATCCAAGTATAACTGACCAAATTATGAAAGACAAGCATTGTAATTTTGAATTTCGTAAAGTGAGTGTGGAAGAGGTGAAAAAATGGTCTATCAACAATGAAAAGCCACCTGAGTACAACTTGGATGGAAAATGACTGAGTATAATAGCGTACGATATTGCCACTCCTATTTGCCATATCTTCAATCTAAGCCTACAAGAAAGTGTGTGTCATTCTGCTATCCAAGAATAGTAAAACCCCCTTTGTAAATGTTTGTAAAAATGGTGTATGACCAGATACATTTTACAGTAAACAAATTGACAACAGACTTTCAGCACGTTGATAGGGAATGGCATTCAACATGCACACACAAATGAC